CACTAGGGGTGGCGCCGGATGCGCGGCCAGAAAGTGGTAGAACGGCTACCCGTAGTGGTGGCGCGACTGTAAGTTGCAGAAGGTTTCTAATCAAGTTGTAGAACGGACATCCTCATTGGTTAGAACGGTGTAGTTTTGCCGCCAGGGGGGGTCCAGCGCCGATCCACAAATTTCGTGCGGATATTCGAACATTCATATTTGTGCCGTTGTTTGCGGGAGCAATGCCCAGCGAAAATTTGCCTTGCCACAGCGGGAAGTGGGGGGGACCCCCCTTTCCCTTTACGCGAAATGGGGCACGGGAAAGCACCCCTTCTCTCCTTCCCGGGCTCTTCCCCTCCTTGTCCCCCCCGGCAGTCGAGACTCCTTCCCGAACGTCCCCCCCTCCCCTTCCCCCGAGCAGTCGAGACTCTCTCCTTCCCAGGCTTTCCCCCCCGCGCCCCTCCCCCACTGGCAATCGAGACCCCTCTCCTTCCCGAAACCTCCCCCGCCCCTCCCTGGGCAAACTCTCTCATTCCATGGGCTCCACCCCCTGGCAATCGAGACTACCTCCTTCCGGACCCCCCCCCACCCCGGGCAATCTAGACTCTCTCCTCCCCCCTCTCTCCCGCCCCCCCCCTCCCCCCTCGGCAATCTAGACTCTCTCCTTCCTGGCCTCGCTCCCCCCCGTCTCACCCCCTCGGCAATCTAGTCTCTCCCGTCCCAGGCTTCGCTTTCCCGTCTCTCTCCCCCCGGCAATCGAGACTCTCTCGTCCCCCTCCCCTTCCGCCTCCCCCCCTCCCCTTCCTCTCTCCCCCCCTCCCGGCAATCGAGACTCCCACTTTCCCGGGCCCCATCCCCCCCACCCCCGTGGCAGTTAAGACTCTCTTTTTCCCGCGCGGCGTCCCCCGCGCCCCCCCCCCCCCATCCCTCCCCTTTCCCCCTTCCCCCCCCCCCCTCCTCCCCCCATGCAAACTTGGCCTGGCGAAGGGCCCAACCATATTGAATTGCGAATATCATTTTCACCCGCGCCTCCTATGGGGCCACGAACCGCGCGGGGGGCGCGCCGACATCCGCGGCGGGAAACGCAGCGCGAAGATCGCGAGTGAGTCTGATTGTGAATGAGTCTTCGCGCGCGAATCTGCGCGCATAAATGTCAACGCCCATGTCGGCGCGCCCCTCGCGAGGATCGCGCCCGCTTCCTCCCCGTTCTTAGTCTGCCATTTAGCCCGCGCGCGCCGACGTCCAAGGCTGCAGGCGCGGCGCCGCGCAGGGCCTCCGCGACGCGCGCCTGTCGCCCCGAAGGGGTCCTGGCGACGCGCGCGGGTCGTCCGCTGCGCAGAGCCGAGAGAGCTAGCTGGCTCGCCGATAGAAGACAAGGCTCTGGCCGCTGGGCAGAGCGATGATGGGGGCGAGCGAAGCGCCGGGCAGAGCGCAGCGCGGAGTTCCCGCGACGCACGCTGGTCGCCCCGAGAGGGCCCCAACGACGCGCGCGGGTCGCCCGCGGCGCAAGGCCAAACAATCAGACCGTCGAGAGACGGCCAGGCTCGGGCGGGCCGCTCCTCAGGTCAAGCCTCGCGGATAAACTCGGTGAAGCCCAGCTCCCTGGCGAAAGCCGTCGCCTCTCTTCTGCGCCGCTTCGTGCGTGCCGTAAACTACTCCAGCTGCTTCCACAAGCTCTCCGGCCGCCCTGCCAAGAAGAACTCGATGCGCGACGCCCGCATGAGCATGAGGTCCTCGTGGCGCGTGGCGCAAACGTCGTCCTCCTTCTTGCCGTTCCCGACCTAGTGGCGGCCGCAGTCCAGGATCATGCCTGGGCGACGTCGGCCGAAGGGGCAGCGCGCTGGGCAGCCGACGGCCCAGGGCGAGAATCCACAAGATCAAAGTCTGGCTGAGGACTGCCCGCGTCCAGCAAGTCTGGCCGTAAACTGCCCCAGAGCGCATTTCCCTCGTCCCGTCGCCTTCGCGCATGGTGCGCCCCTGCCGCTGGAACCGTCGGTGGAGATCCCTATGGGGCCACGAAGCGTGTGAGGGGTGTGCCAAAATGGGGCGGGGATGCCATGCAAGTTCCGCCGCTGGGACCTTAGGTGGAGCTCCCTATGGGGCCACGAAACGTGCGGCGGGGCCGCCATGCGAGTTCCGCCGAAATGGGGCGGGGATGCCATGCGAGTTCCGCCACTGGGACCTTATGTAGAGCTCCCTATGGGGGCACGAAGCGTGTGAGAGGTATGCCAAACATGGGGCGCGGATGCCATGCGAGTTCCGCCACTGGGACCTTCGGTGTAGCTCCTATGGGGCCACGAAGCGTGTGAGGGGTGTGCCAAACTGGGGCGGGGATGCCATGCGAGTCCCGCCACTGGGACCTTCGGTGTAGCTACCCATGGGGCCACGAAGCGTGTGAGGGGTGCGCCAAAATGGGGCGTGGATGCCATGCGAGTTCCGCAACTGGGTCCTTAGGTGGAGCTGCCTATGGGGCCACGAAGCGTGTGAGGGGTGTGCCAAAATGGGGCTGGGGTGCCATGCGAGTTCCGCCACTGGGGCCATAGGTGGAGCTCTCTATGGGGGCACGAAACGCGTGAGGGGTGCGCCCAAGTGGGGCGGGGATGCCATGCGAGTTCCGCCACTGGGACCTCAGGTAGAGCTCCCTATGGGGCCACGAAGCGTGTGAGGGTTGCGCCAAAATGGGGCGGGGATGCCATGCGAGTTCCGCCACTGGGACCTTAGGTGGAGCTCCCTATGGGGCCACGAAACGTGTGAGGGTTGCGCCAAAATGTGGCGGGGATGCCATGCGAGTTCCGCCATTGTGACCTTAGTTTGGGCTCCCTATGGGGCCACGGAACGTGCGAAGGGTGTGCCGACAGAGAGACATGCGGAGGGCAGAGGCAAGGAGGGGGAGGAGGGCGGGAAGGAGGAGGAAGGAACGCAGGGCGCCGTCTCTTCAAAACGAGGACCCAACACCACAGGATGGTTGGGAACAAATATCATTCTGTTGCTCTCGCCAGATGGCAACGCAGCAGGGAGGGAACGGAAAAGACGGCCCATGCCACTCTACCTTGCAACGCCCTGTGAGCGAAACACAAGTCTTCGATTATACTCGCCACGTGCTTACGCAGCAAACCCTTCCACTCTACTCGTCACGCGGCAACGTCTTGGGGGCGAAACCAATACTATTCCATTGCACCGCTCGCCACGTGGTCGGAGGGGAAAAACATTCCACTCGACTCGTTACGCGACAACGCCAGGGGGGGCGACAGCAATGTGAATCCGGTGTGCTCGACAAGCGTCTGCTCGGCACGTGGCAACGCCCTGCGGACGAAGCGCACCTATTCTTTTCTGCTCGGAATGTGGCCATGCAGCAGGCCAGGAAACTCTCGAGCACGGACAAAACATACCATTCCACTGTGCTCGTCACGCGGCAACGCCTTGGGGGGCGAAGCCAATACTATTCCACTGCACTCGCCACATGGCCACGCAGCGCAGCGGAAAAACAACCCATTTGATTGCACTCAGCACGTGGCCACGACTGGGGAGCGAACGCAAGACCATGCCACCCCCTACTCGGCACGGGGCAGCGCTCGAATAGCGAAACAAACCGATCATAATTATTGTGGTCGCCACGTGGCATCGCGTCGCGGCGGAAGGCATACACTTCTGCCAAACGCGCCCACGCAACGGGCTGGGAACAATCTCATCTCACTCTACTCGTCACGCCACAACTCCTGCGGGCGGCAAGCAAATATCATTCTGGCTCACTCGCCAAATTGCCACACAACGGGCCCGACAAAAAAGACCTTGCTTTCGACTCAGGCGGGGTGGGAACAAAAAACCATTCTACCCGACTTCGCCCGCGACAACGCCAGCGGGACGGCAAAATTCGACTCGGGCGGAACAGGATCAAATTCCATTCAACCCGACGCGTCACGCGAAAACGCCAGATGGTCCAACAAATACCACTCCATTACACTCGCCACGTGCTACACAGCTCGCCTGAGAAATAAAACAACTTCACTCGACTCGGGGCCCGCGCGCGGGAATTTGAACGTCTCGACTGCCGAGAAGGGACGAGGGTTGCGGAGTGCGGGGGGAGGAGGAGTGGAGGTCGCGCGGGAAGGACGCTCGACTGCCAGGGGGGAGAGAAGGGAAGGAGCGCGCGGGGAATAGAGAATCTCGACTGCCGGCACCGGGGTGGGTGGGAACGGGGTGGGAAGGAGAGAGTCTCGACTTCCTCGTCCCCAGGGGTGGGGGGGCCTTCGCCCCTTCAAACGTGTGAGGTGGGGGGTCTGGCTACACCCCGCGCCTCCTTTTCTGGGTATCGCTTTGTCCGTTGTTTGGTTTTCTGCTCTCCTCCTTTCCTTTTTCCCCTTATCATTCTCCTACCTCTCTCTTTCTCCCCTTCCCCCTCCCGCCTCCCCCTTTCAGGCAAGGCTGGGCGTCTGGGTCCATGGGCGAAGTGTGCGTTCTTCTTGTCGTCATCTTTTTCCTCCTCCTCCTCCTCCTCGTGCACCCTCCCCGCTCAGCCTGGGGTCGGCGCGCGCCAAGGGCCTCGGGGTCCAGCGCCAATCCATCAATTCCGCGCGGACCTTCGATAGTTTTATGCCTGTGCCGCTTTTCCTTCCTCTTCGAGAGGAGCAGAGCAAGTCGTGCCCCTGCTGCTGACGGCCCCCACGGAGAGACAGGCACCCATCGTCGTCCGAATCAGGCTCGCCATGCGTCCCGAACAACGGTCGCTCCTGTGGAGAGGGAGCGGGAGGGAGGAGGGCAGACGCGCTCGCGAACTCTCTGCTACCCAGAGGCCTGTGCAGACCCAGCCTGGCTGCGCGCCCTACAAAGCCTTCTTCTCGACCGGAGAACCATCCTGCGATGCGGGCGCACCCTGGCCGCCGCACCAGGCCCGCACGACAAGAACGGATCGGGGGTTTACTGCAGGTGTCCCTGGCCCAAGGTGGGAGGCCGTGTGGGCCTCCTCGTGAGTCCTGGGAGCACCTTGGGCCAGGGACACCTCTGGCAACACCCGCATGGATGGCACGAGCAGCATTGCGAGCAAGACCCACGCCTCCTGCCACGACAGCGGCGCCGCGAAGAACGGCATGCTGGACGCCGCCGCCCGCGCCGGACCCCGGCTGCCCGAGGGCAGCGCCAGCGACTCCACCGCCTCCACCACGGCGGCGGGTCCGCCCGCCTCCTCCAGAGCCCGCGTCGCCTCGGGGCTCGTGAAGCCGCCCTGCAGCAACATGCGGAACGCCGCCTGGGCCTCCGCGGCCTCGGCCTTGGGCCGCACGGCCCAGCCGAGGCCGCGCCTCTGCAGGTCGCGGCAGTTCCTCCACTGGTCGCCCTCGTGGGGCACGCAAGCCACTGGCACGCCAGCGCCCACGGCCTCCAGCAGCGAGTGGATGCCCCCGTGCACGACCGCGAGCCGCAGCCCCGGCGCCCGCAGCCACGCCGCCTGGTCCCTGGAGGCTGGCGCCAGGTGCTGCTGCGTAGGCTCCAGCTCGTGGCGGCAGGCTTCGACCAGGACGACTGCAGTCAGGCCCTCGTCCGCCAGCGCCCGCAGCATCTCGGTGGGGCACTGCAACGCCTTCGTGCCGAATGCGACCAAGGCAAGCTGCGTGCTGTCAGGGTCCCGGCCCGTGGCAGCCAGCCACAACCCCAGCTCAGCGGGCGCCTGCGCCCACGGCCGGGCCGTCAAGCTGCCCACGAAGTGCACGCGAGCCGGGTGCAGCGCCGCCAGCTCGGCTGCCCTCAACGGAAACGAGAGCTCCCGCGTGCCCTGCAGCAACAACAATGGCACGTGCCGGCCGTAATACTCCGCCCACGTCAGTGGGCCGCTCCCGCTGGGCACTCCGGCCTGGTGGTGCCCTGCGAACAACCACGAGAGTAGCCACAGGCCGACGAACCGCACATTGGCCCCGACGTCCTGCCAGCCGCGTCCCACCGCCAGGCCATAATGAAACCAGGCGCCAGGGATCGCGTCTGGGTCGCTGGCTCGAGGCAAGAAACACGATAACCATGACCAAGATGTCGCGGGATCTCGTGGACGCCGATCGTGGTCATGGTCTATGCTGATCGTCGCCGATTCGCCAGGATGACCCGCGAATTGACGATGACCAAGTGGACGGCGACCAAGATCGACACCGACGTTTCCTCGCTCAGTCTTGGTCATGGTACTCGTCTTCTTTCCCTCCACTGGCGCACTGGAGGTGCACCGAGAGCAGCCCGAGCTCCTTCGCCAGGAGCGGGTAGAGCGCGTCCACCACCGCGAGGTCGAAGCGCCTGCCGCGAAGCAGCCGCATCGCCTGCGGAGGGGGGGGGCAGGCTGAGGAGGAGGAGGAGGAGGAGCAGGAGGGGGAGGAGGAGGGAGGAGGAGGAGCGCCAGTACCATAAGGAGGGAGGAGGAGGAGGAGAAGGAGGAGGGGGAGGAGGAGGAGGAGGAGGAGGGCTTCGGGCGAGCGTGCTGCTTCTCGATCTTTCAGGTGAAGGCTGGTGCCAAATTCCTCTGTGCTCTCTACGTGTGAAGAGGACACTTCGGACGCGCGTCCCATGATGCGAGGGAGGGAGGAAGGAGGATGGGGGGGGGATCGCAGTCGCGAGACGGCCGCACGCTTTGGCTCCTCCTCCTCCTCCTCCTCCTCTTCCTCTTCCTCTTCCTCTTCTTCGTCCTCCTGCTCCTCCTCCTCTTCCGCCTCCCTCATCCTTCCCTTCCCCTCCCCCCATTCCCCTCTCCCTGCTCCCCGTCCTCACCGTCCTCCCCTCCGCCCCTCGCTGCCCTCCTCGCCCCCCGCCCCCTCGGGGGAGGGGCGGGGAGAGAGGCCGTTGGGACCAGCCCACACTCGGGCACCCCAACGCCCAGTCAGAGCCTGGGGCACGAGCTGCGCGTTCACCTCGCGCGAAAGGCTCTGGAAGCTCTCGCCCGCCTGGAAACGCTTGGAATAAATCGCGTCTTCCATGACCTCCACATCCGCCGGCCCCAGTCGGGAGGAAGCGCAAAGCTGGATTAAGGCGAGTGGACTGGCGGCGGGTCCCGTTTCCGCACGGAATCGGCGGGCTCCGTCGCCAAATCAAGTGGCACAAACCTCATATTTCGCGGGTACCTTGTCCGATCCGTGGATCTGGCGCCCACGCGCCAAATCCACGGATCCCAAATCCATATTAGCGTGTGCCCGACAGACCCACTCGAATCGTGAACCATCGATTTGTTCGTTTTGTTTTTTTTCGGAGGGGGGGCTGGTTTCTGTTTCCGAGGGCCCTCACCCTCAGGATGAAAAACTCATGGCGTCGAAGGTCTGTGCCGTGACGTGGGCACTGGCTGAGTGAAGCTCGGAGGCGCGCCCAGGGGGGAAGGCAGAGGGGGCAGTCCTTCTCAGAAGGCTCACTCAGAAAAGCCTTGTAAGCCCTCTTCGAAGCCCCGCCGCCTTCTGAGAAGGCCTGCCCCCTATCACATTCCCCCTCGGCATGCCGCCGAGAGGCGTCCCCAGGCCGTCAGCAGTCCTCGATACTTCATACGGTGATGGAGGGCATTGAATAGAACCCTTGGATCGGTAATCCAAGGTCTTAAAGGTGGTTGACACACACTGATTGAGGCTTGAACATGGATATCACATCCGCTCTCATCAGATAAATAATCCTCCAATGTCTGAAGCCCCCTGGGCACATTCCAACGAACGCCCCAGCCGTATGTGGCCCTCAATGCGGTCAGGAACTCTTGCATAGTGTCGCCGCGGCGGCCCCGGTGACACGCTGTCCCTTGAGAGCGCATAGCGTGTCGCTCCGCTACGCGAGGCGGAAGGTTGGAAAAACTCGGGACGGCGACGCTTGGGAACCGCGAAGTGGAGAGCGCGTCACGCCATCCAAGAATTCCCAACCGCATTCGGGCCCTCCACGAAGCCCACACGAGGCCCACACGCCCCCCAACAAGCCGCGGCATCCCGTGGCTGCACCCCGAGGATCCGCTGCGCCACGCGCGCGGACAGCCCGGGCACGGCGGCAGGGTGGGCCGAAGGCCGCCAGAGCCGCCGCCCCCGTCGGTTTGCAGAGGGGTGCTTGGCGTGCCGGTACCCCAAGATGTTGAATAAGCACCCCTTCATGCCAGCCCGCCCCCGACAACCAGTTCCGGCGCCCCCACGGCCGCCGAACCCACCCCCTCAAGCGATGCAACCTCCCAAGCCCAGGGCAGGACGGCCCCGCGCAGGACGGCTCATTCCTACATCCCCACTTGAGCCCCCACCCAACGCTTATTGAACAACTCGGAATACACTCGAAAACCTTCCCACAAGGTTGGTTTCCACAACGGCCGGGGAGCATGTAATCGGTGCAATCCCTTGGCCAGGTTTTGGCTCAACAAGTTTGGCCACGTAAGCGTCCCCTAGAGGCAAGGGATGGGCGGTTGCTCGCCGTACGCGTCTTCGATACTCAACCGTGAGGTTGCTAAGGGAGTCACCGCCATCCATGAATCTGACCCTCGTCTTGGCAGCGGCCGGCTCTAGCAGCGTCACGCGGTGGCCCCCACGCGCGAGCGCTTCTGCCGCGCGGCGGACGGCAAGCTGGTGGCTCGTGGCCGCGACGGGCGTCGCGTAGGCCAGCACGTCAAGCGCCCTGGCAGCCGGCAGGGCCAATACGGCGGCGGGGAAGGCCAGGGCCCCCCCCATCGCAGCACGGCCGGCACTCCCCTGGTTGCAGGTGGGGGGCACGGGGCCCCAGAACGCTGGGGGCTCGGCGGCGCGCTGCAGCGCCCAGCGCGAGGCGCGAAAGCGCGCTGCCTTGAGCCAATATCGCCGCGGAGGAGCGAGAATAGGGCACCTCCCTTGCTGGTGCCCACGAAGCATTGGCATTCCCTGGGCGAGCCCCATGCCTGTGAGATGTTGTGGCGCCCATGCGCAGCGAACTCTCTGTGCCGAGCGCGTGCTCTCCTCAACAAGGCCGACCAATGCGGTGCACACACACACACACTGACATACCGAGTCCCGCCGATCGCCCCCTTCCCCGAAGGACCCCGTGGCGTCCGATGAAGGGGGGTTGCCCGTCGAGTAAGCGCGTTAGCCGATAGAGAGAGGGGACCATGCCACAAGAACGCAAGGCGCAGGATCATGCCAGCGGTGAGCAGGAAGAGGAGAAGGCTCCGGCATTTCGGACCTCGATCGAAGCAGCGTGCAGCGCCACCCACCTCACATTCTTCCACCGTCGTCTCTTTCAGCCAGCGTGAGCCTCCAGAGCTTGCCCCAGCATCTCTGGGACATTTTTCGCCCTGCGGGCTGCTTTGTTGATGACACCAAAGCCCCCGAAACGTTCTGGTGTTAGTCAGATGATCGACGTTCCCTGGCGAATGACGCCCCCCTTGCTCTGGTCTCCCTACCCTGGGACGGATTTTGTAGACGGATGGGCCCTTAACGATGTCGTCCGACATAGCTGCGCTGTTCCGTTGAATAGATGTGAGAGCAGATCCTCGCGCGCCAGGTGAGAGGCGTGCGCGCCCTTTTCCGCTAAGATGCCAGGTGCGTCCTACCTTCGCAACTGTCCTGAGCCAAACGCGCGCGGCGGCACGCGAAAAGAAGCCCAAAGAGAGGCGGAAGGAGCGAAGGAAATGACTCCCCCCCGCGGCGAGCCCAGAGCAACTTCGCCCTGCGTGCCAGGCGTCAGCGCACTTCGTTAAGGGGCGCCAGCCTCAAAGATGGCTTCCACAGCGCCACCCGTCCGAATAATACCAAGTCCTGTTGGATGGGTGAAGGCTCAGTTGCTCGACGTAGCCCCGATTTCCATTAGACAGAGCCCGCGGGCGCCGCAATCGCCCCAGGATCACGCTTCGACCTCGTTCACCGTGAGCTGCCTTCCCAACCTCGGCCCGCGCCCGCATGCCATGAGCTGTCGCCTCTGGCTTCGTTCGACCTCGCGTGCCAAGTGCTGTCATCCCACCGGTCCATCGCCATGATCCGTAAGCCGCCGATTGTCGCTCCGATTGTCGGCGGGAATGTCGGTCCACCAACCGTTTGAATCGCCCCGCCCATCTCTGCTTCCGCGGCCATCTTCGTTGGCCTTGCCCCGGCCTTTTCGTTTGCCGGGGGGCGAAATGTCCGGCGGGGGCATCGTTCGAGTGATGCGTGCGCCCCCTTTGGGTACCCCTCGCCGATTCTGCTCCGTAGCCATGGTCGCCTTCGGCAGCTTCGGCCCTGCCGCGGTGGCCGTGGCGCCCGCCCGCGGCCTGAATCCCCGTCGCGGGCGGGCGGGTCGGCTGTCGCGGCAACGCCGCGATCTCTAGCGCCCGCCGTCTTCCCTCCCGGATGGCCGGCCGAGCTCGATCCAGTCCCGGAGGTTGCCCTGGATGCCCAAGGCAAGGCGGGCGCGGACACGTCGGGTTCTTTGAAATCATCTGCCGCATCGTCCATATCAACATCAACTGCTGAGAACAGGCGTTTCAACTTCCTGCAGATCTCTGAGATTCAGCCCCGGAATTATAGCGCATCGTGAAGATCGCCACGGTGGTGATTAGTTTTCCGTGCGCTCTGATGGCGCGTTCCATCTTCGCTCGAGCGCCTCGCGACTTCTCATCGTCGCTGGGCGCCCGACCTGCGCCGGGGAAGTCAATGGCGCCTTCGAGAGCCGTGCAGTTATCATGTCCTTCCAGTTCCGTCTTGACAAACTCAGCGCAGCTTGGGTCCAGGATAGACATCACATCATGAATGTCCTGCAGCATCGACTCCACGTGTTTGCTGAACGACTAGTCTTTTCTATCACGAATGCCGCCGAAGGGAGTGCTGTGCTGATTCGAAGCCTGGATGATGGCGCTCATGGCGAAGCGCGCAAACCGGCCCTTTTCGCCGGGGTGCCGCGGCGCGTGTTGCTCCTCATGACTGGGGCGTTCCCATCTCTCAGGGGCCATCCGCGATATCGCCCCATGGAGGGCCTCCGAGAAGCTAGTCTTGGCAACGGCCGCTGCCGAGACTTCCCCCGCGCCATTTGCAATCCTGGGGGCCTCGACTGCCACTCGCGCGTCAAACGTATGCTGAATCTGACGGTCCCGGACCAACCCAATGCCGGCGCTCGGGGGCGAATGGCGTATTTCCGTCGCCTTTCAGACGCAGTCAGTTGCAGATCCCGACTGCGTCACCCATGGGGCTGTCAAGGGCCTCGTCCAAATCCTTCGCCGCGCGCGCATGATCGAACTAGATTGCGACGCCCCTGCCCTGTCCGCTCTTCTGCAGAGAAGGGAACTGGGATTGCCCTGCCTTCCTTGCGATCGTTTCATAATCGAAATTGCACCTCAACTTTGGGCCCGTGCAACCCAACGCTCTCTAAAATCAATGACCTCCGCCTTCCCGGGTTCTTCCGGATCCAAATCGAACGCGCTCAAAAGCCAAATGTAGGGGGGCTTCGGATCGCGGTTGCCAAGACGTACACAGCTCCAGTTACCACTGGATCATGTCTTTGCTCTGAGCCGTTCCCGTTGAGCCAGACGCGCGAAAGTAAGCGCGCGTCCTCGTGAGTTTCCTGGGCTTCTCCGTGACAGACAACGAGCGTGCCGGCGGCTTGCTTTCCTTGAATTCTTGCGCCCGGGCTGAGTGCGCCATGGCTGCCGTGTCCACGTAGCTATGTCTTTCGAAGAAAGTGAGCGCCTCGATTTGTAAGATTCGGTTCGCAATCTGCCGTGGTCGTTCATCTTCTAATCTAAGGGCTTCACACTGGAGTAGCGATTGCTCTCCTCCTTGTTTTCTCATCAACGCTGCGCGTTTCGTATGTGAACTGCCCTCGGAATCCATGTCCATCTGATTGCCGCCGTGTTGATCAGCGTGACGGGCCTGGTTCGCCTCTGCTATTTGCGCCCCGCGTCAGGCCAGGTCCGTCTGCGCGAATCCTGCGGGATTGGGTCGCGCATCATTGGGTTTTCGTGCAGAACGGGCGCGAAGACGCCCCGGATCTAGCCCGCTCGAAACATTCGCGCGCCGTGTGCGTTTCGCCAGGCCTGGGTATCTTTATCATTATCTCCAGCGCTGGGGGGCCATGCCGTTCTTCTCGGGCATCTTCTTCGGCGCTTAGGTCTCGCTGAGCATGGCCACGTAGCCTGAATTTCTTCGGGGGGTGCGTCTGTCCACTCGCTTTCCGATCGCAGACCTTCGGCCGAGCAGTGTTGGTACCAGTGCAGGTCAACGTGAAAGCGCCCGGCGATTCGGAGAGGCCCTGGCACTCTCTGCTACTGATGGCGCCGCCTGGCGCCGAAAGTGAACGGTGACTGGTGCGTGTTCCAGCGTCGAAAATCACCGGCGCCCCAGCTCCGCGCGTATCTCCCTTGCGCAGATTTGGGCAATCATCGCGGGCAAATCTCCGACCGTCTGGAATCGGGGCTCTCCGTCTCCCAGTCGCAAGGTTTCGCTGGCGTGGGCCGAGGCGGCGGCCTCTCTACTACTGGGGGGACACCCTTTCCTTCCCGCGGGCGTTGCCGGCGCCCTCGCAGCCCCTTTATTGGCTCCTTCGCCGTGTACAAACAAAAATGGTAGGTGTCCCCGTGTGGCGAGAGACTGGTGACGGACGAAGGAACCGCGCTCCTGTCGGACCTCGCCTGGCTCAAGTATCCCTGCTAGGTGAGTGGCGCAAAGACAGTCCCACTCGCTCGCGTGCCTACTGTCCGAGCGAACCCATCAAAAGATCTCGGGGTCGGGCCCGACTATAGCGGCCCATTCCTCAGTGTCCTCTATCTCGTCGTCATCCACGCGGCCGTCGCGTTGGCGGCCCAGGGCGCAAAGTTTCGCCAGTGCCTGCGCATCGCCTCTCGGTCTGGCTGGCGCTCCCCTTCCGCTGGGCCGCCGGGCGGGCCGGGGCCCTCGCCCGACTCTCAAGGCGGACCGCCAGGCCCGCCCCCGCCAGATCCCCTGCCTCCGGGAGGGCCTCCAGAAACTCTTGCGCGGCCTCCTCGACCGCCCGATCCAAGGCTTCCCGTCTTTTCTTCCAATCCTCATTGTTGGGCCCAACTAGTGACAGTGGGGGGAACATATCCTCGGGCAGATCGCCCCTTCCCTCGCGCCCGTCGCCGGGGTCGCCGCCGGGTCGCCGCCCGGTCCTCCGCCCCCCCGGAAGCCTCGGGCGCTCGATCCAATTTCCTGGGGCCTTTGTCGTCAGCTTCCAAGAAATCGAACGGGGCGTCATCCTTTCCAGCATGGCCGAATATGACGTTACCTGGGAATCATTCGAAGGCAGCCCGCGCTTCGGCGGCCTCGGTTCTGGCCTCCAGTGCCACTATTTCTATTTCGAGGGGCTTCGCCTTTCCTGACACTGACCCGAGGTCAGATTCAGCCCTGCGGGGGCTCTTTCTTCTTCTCGCTTTTCATGGCGCTCGGCGACCCTCGCGTTTCGGCTCGGCTCTCGCGTCCGATCGGAAAGCAGCATCCGCTAGTCAGCGCGCTTGCGTTTTTATCAACGTTTTATATGAATTTAAACTCCTCAATCTGAGCGTCCATCTCGGTCGGCAGTGGTGCGCGCCTCCTGCTCGGGCGTCCGATGCTCTGCGTTTTCCCCCGCCTTCTTGCGAGGGGGCGCTCCCCCTCTGGGGCTCTCTGTTCCGTCCTGTGCTCTTCCTCGACCTTCTGATTTGCGCGCGGCGCGCGCCTGCCGGCTCCCGCGAAGAGATGGACTTCGCAGCGGGCTATGGTACATCCCGCGCAAT